CGGCCCGGGGCTCAGCCCGCCGCAGCGCACGGGGCGCGCCCCGCGCCCCCTCTTTCCTTTCCCCCTCTCCCTTCCTCCCCCGTGTTGCTTTTCCGACCAAAAACTTCTTGCAGCGCTTGAGGAAACCAACGTTTCGGATCGGTGGTATTGCCACAGGGTGCACCTGGTGTCTTTATTTATTTATTTTTTAACCAAAGGTGTGCAGGATTCCCTGCTGGCTTTGCTGCCTAAGTGGGGTTTGCGGTGTGAGATGCCTCACGTACGGAAAAGTGCTTTCAAGCTTGAGTCTCTTGCAATGGGGACACACATGATGTGGTGGGAAAATTTCCTGCATTTCCTACTGGGCTGGGAGATCAAATGCACTGCATACAACCAAACTGGGGCAGCAGAAGCAACAACCAGAACCCACAGTGGAGCAAAGCACAAGTATTGCAGGTGTTTTATTGCTAAGCTTATTACGGCATGTGCAAACAGCTGCCAGTCCCAGGCTGTTCTTGGCAAATTGGTGTGATAAGTCTTACAAAGACTGGCTTTAGCTCTCAGTCTTAAGGAGATCAAGAGAACATGCATCCAAATGGGGTGGGCTGGTATCACAAGCAGCTTTAAGGAGTAATCTTGTTTGGGAGTTGATCAAACTTATCTTGAAATCCAGCCTTAAATAAAGCACAAGCCTGTGGGCCGGGCACCTTAGTCTGTATCTCTTTGCTGTGCTTTGTGGCTATATGGGAGCATTTCTTATTTTTCAGTGAAAGATTCATGTGGCTGAGGAGAACAGTGAGATGAGGTGGATCACAGAGTGATTGAGGTTGGAAGGGACCTCTGGGCACCATCTAGTCCAGCCCTCCTGCACAAGCAGAGTGAAACTTGGTACAAAGCTGGGTGACTCTCTTGCCCCTTCATTCCCTTTCAGTGAGTGCTGACTTGTTTCTATGAGAAGTATGTAGTGGTCTAGTACTGGGGATGAATGAATGCTGGGTCTTCATCTTGTTGGAGGTGTTTGTTTTTGTTTTTCTCCAGTAAAAGCAGAATGAAAGTGAAATTGTAAAATTTTAAGATCAAATGTAGAGAAAAGATCATACTCTTGCTGAGCATGATTAAAGAGCTGTGTTGTTACCTTTTCCAAAATTGATGGGGTCAAGAGAGCAATTTGACATTCTGCTGGACACGTGTAATGTATACCTTGCTGAAAATCATTAGTTCTAGATATTTGCTATTTGTTTACTGAAATGTTGCATTAACAAACTGCAAGAGAAAACTTTTGATCATTTACAAATAATCCTGAACTAACAATAGGAAACTACTCATGTGGGGTAAAAAAGATGGTTATTAAATAGCTAATGATGCAACCTTGTTTTCCTAAAGTACAAAGTTATTGCACGTCACCCTCCTGCCTATCTTTCCCTCCCCCTCGCTCAAAACATGTGCCAGCTGGCTGAATGGTAATCAATGACTATGCAGTTTGGGGGATAAAGTGTCTGGTCATGTATAATCCATGGAGTTCTGTGTCTTGATGAGACTTTGCTGGACAGCCATGTGGAGGTACTGGGGCAGAAAAAGCTGTGTAATTGAAACTACTTTTGCCTTGCTAAGTTTGGTCATTTTCCTCCAGGCAGAGGAATCATATGCAGTCAAAAGCTTTTTCTATTTCTGTTAAAATATAAGTTTGGTTCAAGAACATGAAGGTTCTTGTTGTTGTTAAAAAGGAAGTAGCTCAGATAATAGCAGTTAATATTTATGTTAAATGGGATACAGTTGCAAACAAGCATATGAACAAATGTTTATGGCTGAATTGTTTTTTCATCTCATACAAAATATGCTTTTTACACCTGATTATTAAATTGAATTAAATAGCGCAGTCTTAATTTGTGCAGGTAAATGTGAAATGAGTCCTAGTCTTTCCTTCTTAATGTACCGAGACAGTATCTTGATAGAGCATATACAAAATCCCCTTCCAAAATCAATCTTGCAAAACTTTCTTGCGCCCAAGCCTAGAGGCTGGGTGAGCAGTTTCTTCTCTGCTGCCGTGATGCTTCCTCTGTTGCTGGTGTCCCAGCCGTCTGCTGCTGCTACCCTGATGCCAGGTCTATGTACGTAGTGCTTGGGAAAGTCAGACAATGCACTTCCCCCACGAACACCTGGCATACACTGAAATACTGCTTTATTACACGTATCTTAATATCTCTGGTGCTAAAGAAATAAAATGTTGGATTCCTTTGACCAAGAGATCATGTCACCACCAACGAGTTACTAGCAGGGTCTCTGCAGATGGATTGGGAGTATTGTTACCTTTTACTCAAAGGGAAAAAGTGGGCGCGATTGATGTTCAGTGGTTTTGCTCTTTTGCTGGAGAGATTTGACTTCAACAAGCTTTTTGGCATCTTTTATACATTGGAGGAATTAAACCTAGGGTTTTTTTCCTGTGTTTCCCCCCCACACACCTCCCATGTAGTCTAAGAGAGGACTTGCATTACTACAGATTAGATGATGTAGTAACAAAGTTCTGGCTCCAGCAGTGGAACCTGGATTAGGTGCCATACAGTGCTTATTAGTTGATTTAAATGGGAAAAGATGTAAATGTACTTAATCATCCACACCTTCAAGAGTTTTTAAAAATTAAAATCCAGTATGTCTCTAGGGTTTTAAATTTCATGAGGCACATAAAATTTCTTGTTTGTGGTCAATGGAGATGATGGGAAAATATAAGAAAAACTCAGTATAAAAATACTTAAGAGAGCGTACTGAGTGTTCAGGGTAGTATTTGAAAGTGGCAATTTCAACAGACCAGCATTAATAAATATTCAAGACCAGTATGCTGCCGAATTAGGTCAGCAGGCAAACACCAGAGTTAGTTGCTGCAGTTTAATGAGAGCACGCGGTAATAGTGTTTTAGTTAAGAGTCAGAGGGCACCTCTGAACCGAGTGTCGATCGTCGCCGCTCCCATGCAGCGTGGCAGTCCCGCTGCCTGCAGGCTGGATTCTTCTCCGATTAAACGGAGCAAAGGAAACATGCTCCGAGCACCCAGTGAATGCACTCGTAACAACTGTGGGGTCTCTGGCACCGGGTTACGGCTCAGCTGAAGTGAACACCTGAAATCCATGGGAAATGGGTGCAGGTTTTTGCTAGCAGGTCTGCTTCTCTTTGTCCAGCACTATGTGCTTCTGTAGCCTTGGCTTCTATTGCAGCTGCTAGTTGGAAAATGTTTTCAGATAATTCACTTTGTTTTTCCACTTTCATTCCAGGTTGATGACTATTAGGTCCATATAGAAATACAAAATCATTCCAGCCTTTGAGATTACATTTTATTTTTAGTTCTTCAATAAATCCCCCTAAAGTGACAGCAGTTATTTAAATGGCTATTGAAATCATCTAAATCCAACCATTGATTGTGTTTTTGTTTTCCTTTTCTGTTCAACTTAATACATCTTGACTTTTTTATGAGTTTGCTTTTGCCTCTGCTAGATTTTGAATATAAAAACATCACAATACCATCAGAGATGCATGTTAGAAAATAGTGATTTCTAGGGAAATATTGTTCTGTTTTACGAAATATTGGAGACCAGGGAGAAATTGCTGGAATGTTTAGAGACTGACACTTACGTTTGGAATTGTTTAGCTATTTATTTAGGCTTCTAGGAATACACACACTGTTGGCATCTGAGAAACTCATTAGCTTTGATGATAGGAAACTTTTCATGGTGCAATGAAACTGTACAAAGCTTAGACTTTTGTATAAAGAAGAAAAAAGCTCCCAACACCAGAGCACAGGCCGTCACAAAAGACAAGTGCTTGATTGTGCAGCAAGTGCAGGCTGAGGGCCCCTGGCCCTGACAGGGGTGTGGGCAGAAAGCTCCACTGAGCTCATTGGGTCCTCGGGCTTTTCTCAGCTGACCTGAAAAAAATCTCTAGTATAGTTACCTTATTTCATTGGTTTTTGAAATTCTGTCAATAGCAGTCAATCCGTTAAGAACAAGATAATTTAACTGTGGAACTTCTTTGGGATAGAGTGGAGGCCTCTGCACAGGTCAGTTGGTGGAGGGATCCAGTAGCAGAAACTGCGAAGGATTTGTTAATATTTTGAATTCTCACTACTCCTTCTTGCCCTTTCTTTGCAGATAAAATACATGTAACTTTAGACAACAACTTTCTAAATATACATATGCTAAAGAAAAAAAAAAGAAACTTCATGTGAAAAGTTTGGGGGTAATTCTTATAAATAGAAATATTGATCAGGAAGAAGGTTTTTAGTGAATGAAATTACAATTGGTAAATTAGCTGTTGGAGCTGTTGGAAGCTTTTTTTTTGTTGTTGTTGTTGTTGTTTCTTTTTGTAGGCTGCTTAAGACAGTTAAATGAAGAATAGACTGAAATTATCTACTGTTTCTCTTCACAGGCTTAGGAGCTATGGCTTCCTTCAGCAACCTGACTGTTGGTATTGCTGTTGCCAGTTTTGCTGTATTTCAGGTCCTGTTCCATGTTTTAAGTTCTTGGGTATCGACACGAATAACTCCTGCTTTTAACAAGCTCAGCCAAAAAAGGAAGATTGAATGGAATTCAAGGTAAAGTGTTCAAAACAAACTAGAAATAATGAACTACCAGAAAGTGTGTGTGTGTGTGTGTATCTATATATATAAAGCTGCAGAGGGATTAAGTTAAACATATGAGCTGTATGCTTGAGTAGCCTATTACAGCTTTAAAATATTCTTCAGGTTCATGTTCTGAGCTTAAAAAATTGTTCTGTATTCACTGCACTCAAAATGCATTAGTCATCTCACTGTGCCTACTCTGTGCTGTTAGAGGCAATATAGGTGGCCACTCTTAAAACTGTTTGCATTGTTTTAGGCAGCATTAGAAATAGAAATAATTTTCCCCTTCCATTTAACAGATGTCCACCTGCAGTTTTTTTTTTTTTTTTTTTTTTTAATATGCTATCATCTTAATTGCAGTTCAGTTTCTGAATATTTATCTATTTACCTGAGTATCTTCTCAGGATGCTGGTTTGTGGTATCAGTGCAGTGGCTTCAACTCCTTGTTAGAATCAACAACAGAGGCAGGAGGTGAAACTAAATTAAACTTCCGTTGTGTTGGAGATGAACTTTTGTCTCTAAGCCACGTCAAGTGACCGCTTGAATTATGTAATAGGGTTTCTGAGGACATATGCCGTCCTGTTTGCGCTATGGTGAGCTGTAGTGCTTTGCATAACAACATATGAATTGTTTCACAGATTGTAAGTCTGCTAGAAATAAGCTTCTCTGGGCTACATTGTAAGAGGTTTAACTAATCAAGTTAATAAACAAAGCAGCTAGGCCTGTGCCCCTTCTTACTTTTTTTCTCCAGCTTTCCTGGGAGTTGAGAGCTGGGGGTAGATGTAAGTACGTATGTGAGTCACAGGCCAGTGCTGCATTCTGTTCTGAAATTAGAAAGCATGAAGCTCAAAGCACAGCCCAGGAGCCACGTGTTGGTCTTGCACCTTTCTGCAGAGGGTGGCCTCACGGAGGCTGGAGAAAGGCCAGTGTCCTCTTGTTTCCCCAACAGGCAAACACTGCTAACAAAAAACAACGTTACATCCACAAGCCTAACCAAAAGCAACTGCTGCGTCATGGCAGTCATTGATAACCAAAAGCAACTGCTGCGTCATGGCAGTCATTGATCCAAACGAAGAGACATCTCAAGATATCTTAGGTGTTTGTAGAGTATAGACAGACCTGTATTCTGCAGACAGCAGTGCTGGTTGAGAAAGTTTGTATCTCTAGTCAAAATGTGTTGGGTTAACGTGCGTGTTTTAAAACACTTTGCTGTGTTGTCACTGCTGCGTTGTCTTATATGGAACTGGCATAGGGAGTGCTCACACAAATGGTTCTCTTGGCAGACCCGAAGGAAACTGGCACCGAGGACGGTTATGCATTTTTATGAGCCCAGCCGGGGCTGGAAGAGGGCATCAGTCCATAGACTGAGGAGAAAAGTAGTATTGAAAATATATTGTTACAGTTGGGAGCTTTTTGTAAATTGGTCTTTTTTGCTGCAGCTCTGGATTATGATCTTTTTAATGTCAGTGTGTTCTTTCTAATCTTCCAGGAATTATGAGCCAATAAAGTAACTGCTTCTGGAATCTTAAGTTTACAAACTGTCAAACCGAGTTAAAAATTACACTTCTTCACGGATGTAGTTAACTCTTCAGGTTGCTGTGCATAAGTTCTGATTGCTGCTTCTGCAGTACACCTCTCTGTGTTGCTAAAAAATGGGGGAAAAAAAAAACAAAACAGTTGCAAAAATGTATTTCCTACTAGAGGAGTAAGTGTAGTGTGCCACTTATCAGTGCTTTTTTTTTTTTCTTTTTTTTTTCTTTTGCAGTTTAATGAGGAGGTAAATGATGCAGACTGTGAAAATAATTCTGTGGAAATGATAGTTTGGCCTAAATTCCATATTTAAATGGAGTATTGTACTATTTTTCCTCTTCTGTCTTCTCTTCTGTTGAAGAACTTGAAAAGTCCAGAAGGATTGTTTCTTCTTTTTCTTCTTGTGCTATGTTTGTATACAGCTTGTATTCCTAAGTATTCAAGTTTGCATAAACAGCTGCTCCTGAGAGAAACTGTGACTCCAAATGAATGAATTGTGTTTTAGGATTAACATTTTACTTCTTTGTACATTATCCTCTTCTAAAATTCATAAATCCCAAGTATTTCTCAAACACTAATCTTGCATATCATGCTTCACTTTAAAAAAGAAGTGAAGTTCCTTGTCTTCTGTAATTCCTTGTTGCTAAGAGCTGACATTTTAATTAAACTATTAATTATCGTTAAAATTCTGATACCTGAATTGTTTTACTTAGGAAAAAAATTAGCCTGTGTAATAATGGTGAGTGCGTGTTCTCATCCAGCATCCTATGTTTGACTATTCACATTCTGTTGATCTCTTTTTTTTTTTTTTTTTTAATTTCTCATTTCCCTCCTCCTCCCCCCACTCCTTCCAACCACCTCTTCCTCTGCAAGGCCTGCCTTAAGGAAAAGGCTTAAAATATTTTCTTTAAATCCTGATAGTAGCCTTTTGAGTCCTGGGAGTGACTTATGCACACATAAAACACTAGTAATTTCAAAATAGATGTATTCAATATGTACAAAGACTGCCTTGGTAACTAACTGCATCTATACATTCGTTTGTATATTGTTAATGTGTAACTATATAATACAGTGCAAAGTTATGCCAGGTCATCCAGCATGTAACTTACTGTATTATGTTTAGCATTTCAAACACAAGAACTGCAGAAGTATTTTGGCATGTAATTTTTATTCTTTCTAGTCAGGCCTAAAACGTGGTAGGCGCAGATTACTGTGCACAGCTTACAGCCGTGTGAAATGCACGGTTAGGTGAACACGGTTTCACGTGGGCGTCTTGGACACGAGCCTGTTGCACCGCTCTACCTTCCAAGCAACCCTCCCTTGCAAAGGGGCAGGAGTGGCCAAACGCTTCCACTGGCCTCGGTGACACCGGCGCTCGCTCCAAGTGCTCATCAGCACCGAGTTCACCTGCATCATGCACACACAGCACTGACGTGTATGCACCTGTAGCCCTAGATAGATTTATTTTGGCTTATCCATTACTTCGGTGCCTGAAAGCAGAAACCTGCTGCTGTGGTACATGAAGACCCATGTAGATATAAAATACAAGATATATTCTTAGGTTTTACAGTAAGCAGGACAATGCAGTCATCATTTGAAAATTATATATCATATTGCCAGTAAGGATTCATTAGCATAAGAGGTAACTGAGAAAAATTATAGATTTCAACAATTTTACTTTCAAACTTCTTCATAGAATCCTAGAATGGTTAAGGTTGGAAGGGACCTCCAGAGGTCATCTAGTCCAACCCCCCTGCACACGCAGGGTCACCTGGAGCACATGGCACAGGACTGCATCCAAGCGGGTTTTGTAGCTCTCCGGAGAAGGAGACTCCACAATCTCTCTGGGCAGCCTGTTCCAGTGCTCTGTCACCCTCACGGTCAAGAATTTTTTCCTTAAGTTCCTGTGGAACTTTTGATGCCTCACTTTCCAGCAGTTTCCTCTAGTTCTGTTGGTGGCCAGCACCATCCTCCTCACTGCCTCCCTTGAGGTACTTATGGACACTGATCAGGTCCCCTCTCAGCCTTTTCTTCTCCAGGCTGAACAGGCCCAGCTCCCTCAGTCTTTCTTTACAATAGCTTTTCCCATCTGTATTCAGTCAGTCATATGAGTGATTGGATGTAGTGTAAGAAGAGATGATTGTGTACTACAAGGGCAGATGGATGCAACTGAGAATTTCTTTGGTTCCTTCTTCCTTACGTATAATGCAGAATATTCTGAGTTCCAGTATCTATTTGTGACTACGGTCTGTTTTTCAGGACAGTGTCCACATTCCATGCCTTGGTGGTTGGTGGTTTTTGTCTGTATATTTTGTTGTACGATGAAGCTGTTAATGCCGACCATATCTGGTAAGACATGTTGCATGCCTGTTTTGTTTGTATAATAAAATAACATAATTGAGAATAAAAATAAATGTTATTACTGAATTAATTCCTTAATTTATCTTTAAAGTACAGAAAATACAATCTGTCCATTTTTAAGTTTGTACGTTTAATAATTAAAAACTATTTTGTCGATATTAATGCCTGCATTATGTCTCTGTGAAGTGGAATGCTTATAGTACAGATAATTGATCTGAAATAGTGTATTGAATTACTAATGAGGAGAACTGAAAATACCACCTAAGTGGTAAAGTGAAACTGTGCTATTTACTATAGTCTTTATATATAAATATATATAAAAAATAGCTTGTGTGTGAGGGAAACATACATGTATAAAATGATAAATGAGATTATTTATGTTTCAGTCTTTCCAAAAATCTTTATCAATTTGGTTTTTTAAATTGTCTTCAGAAGAAGCAGGAATATTTGAAAAACTGGTTTGTAAAAGCTTCTTAAATTAACAAAAGTATTCCATATTATGTGTAATCACTTATTGATATCTAGTTATGTTATTTTGATTTAGTTCCTCACCTGTTTTTCCTCGCATGTAGAAAATGCCAATTAGTTAATTATAGATTGCTATTGATATTTTGAAATTTTACTCATACTCTGAGGCTCCCCTTTCTGCAGGGAAGAGGCTGTATTTTTTTTTTTCTTAAGGGTAACTAAGTATTTTTAAGTCTCATTTCATATTTTTGTCATAGGTTGCTTTCAAAGGACCATGCTGTTGAGCTAGTGTAAATGTGTATAAATTCAGCATTGATACTTTTTCTGCCTTTTTTTTTGATGTTGTCAATGACAATGCAGTGCAAACTGGAATTATGACTACAGCTCTGCCACTGACTTGTTATAGTTATATGGCTTTAATAAATATAGTTATATGGCTGTAATAAATATTAAATTACTAGTAACATGAACTTCTGTGGCATTGGCCTCTTATGTATTGATACATGATCAAAACGTCAGTTTTCTGGCTTTTTTTAATTATTATTTTATTTTAGTATCTTTGGAGAAAACAAATACAGTTGTCTGCACATCTTAGGAGTTCTGCTAACCATGCTGAACAGCAGCAGTTTATTTAAAATTGGTATGTGTGTTTGCGTGTGTGTGTTGTGGTAAGATATGAGATACAAGCTTTTATCTTGGTTTGTTTGAGTAGACTTTGTTCTAAATGGCAGAAATAACACCCATTCGGTTAAGTTAAATGAATTGTGCCTTAACTTGAGTTAAATTTTCTTGGATTTGTTCCAGAAAAAAAAAAGGTCAGATAAATTTGAAAAAAAGTTTTTTTTTTTTTCCCCTTAAGTTTGAAGAAAGTTATGTTAGATAACTTTTTGTATACAACATTGGCAACTTGCTTAAGAAGCCTTAGCATTCTAATATTATGTAAAAGCATTGAATCTCAAAACAGAAAATCTGCCTGCCCTTGGGAGAAAGCTATTCTCTGTTTCTACTCTTATAAATAGTCTTTTTTCCCTGGATACCTTTAGAATAAATGTCACCTGTGGCTTCTACCACTATTTTTATAGTGGTATAATAATGATTTCTCAGGCAAAAGCCTAGTTGTTTCAAGAATTTATCAATTAAAAATCTAAAGAAAACATATTCTAGATATGAAAATCAATATTTTTAGTTGTTTAATTGTATTAAAATGTGTGGAGCACCACTTAACCTGTTTAAAGCAGTTGTAATAATTTGAATTCATATTCATGCAAGTGACTGCATAAGTGCAACTGAAGGCTGGACATATTCCCCGTGACATTGCAAGGACTTGTACAGAGACCGTCAGCAGAAGAGAACATTGCTTTGCCATAGTGCTCCTGTGTTTGACTTCCTAAGCAACAATGCCGGAAACATAGGGTAGTTTTCTCAGAAATTGCATATGTACTTACTCTTTTAAGGCTAACTTTTATGTTAGTCTTATGTGGGAGTCTTTTTATAGGAGTCTCATATTAATAGTGGGAGAGACATTTGTGAATCTAGCTTCAGTATGTTACAAATAAGTGACTGGGATCCTTGATGGACCTTCTTGGCCTCTTCTGTCCCAGTCAGTGAGAGCACTGCATAGATCCTCCAGTTCTGGAATAGCAGAAAGGTTTTGATAGAAACACACTTTGCCTCTAGTTGTTGGCACTGTCTTTGTGTAGTTACTGACCAAGTGACAATGTCCAGACTGGTTCTTTCCTGGAGTGTGGGGAGGTGTTTTTTGTTTACTATGGATAATCGCAAATTTTGAGCGTCTTGCTACATCAGCCTGATTTCTAGATATATGCGTGGATGAGAGGCCTGAAAGCAGGATGCTGATACCATAGGTCTCAAAAGGGATCCGGACTCGTAGTAAGAGCAGGATGGGGAGAAGTTGTGCTCCTTGCACTGCTGTCAGATTATGCCTGAAACTAGTACAATTGGTCCAACAAAAAAATAGTAGAGAATGGGGCATCGATAATTTAGAGGGAGACATCTGCCTTGCGCGTGTGATGGTTTAGGATTTCCCGTAATACTTTTTTTCCTATGTGCAATTCAGACTGAGATAACATAGGCTATGTAGAAATTGTTTTTTGAGGCAGACAAGAATAACATGGTAGAAAAATGTGGAGGTGGTAGAGATCAGATAGGGAGAGGGAGAAGTGAGTGAATGAAGTTGTAACTTCACAGAAGAATTGGCTTTTTTCATTGACTGTCCGCTCAAGGGTTATTACACTGTCTTTTTGAAGTGCGGTATTCGATTGGTATCTGATTTTTGTCTGATAGGACTCTACTTGAAAAGAAGCATGGAGAGGGTGCACCGTGTGGACTTTAGTTCATTTTATCTGCCTGTGCATGTTCCTGCATAATTCACTGCCACGCGCACCTCCCGGCGATCGCAGGAGAGAGCGCTCGTCCCTTCTGCTTGTTCAAGTCCCTCCCTGTTTGTCACTCAAGCTCCAAACATCTGGTTTCCTAAATACGATTGTGCTTCTCATTCCAGAAAACTGACCGGGAAATCTGGAAAACTTTAGACTAAAATCTAATCTTTGCATTAATTGGGATTAATTTGGGATTCTAACAGGGAATCTTCTTGAAGGTATTGGGAGGTGCCAAATGGGAGGTGCTCAGATTTTTGATTTGAAAGTCTGGAGAGGGTTTGCTCTAGGGTACCCTTTTCCTGGAAAGACTGAAGGGAAATGATCATTCCCTGTGTCATCCAAATAAGGGCTCTTAAATCTCAATCTGGCGTGCAGATGCACTCTGGCTGACTCAAACATATGTACATTTGATGCACAACTTGGTTTATATATGTGTGCCTGTGTATAAAATAATCTTTATGCAGAGAAAAAGGGAGCCGCTTTTCAAACTCAGCAAAGCGCTACTGTGCAGAGGACAGTGGAAGAACAAATAGAAGTTGCTTGTTGTCACGTTTCCCCATCTTGAGCTGTATTCACAAGTTTGCTGAATATTTGGAACAAAATGTGGAAGTGACAGAAGGTGTGAAATTACTCCATTTTCCTGCTGGAAGCTTCCTTGTGCGCAAAGAACTGGCAAATAAATTCCTGTTATGTGTTCCTCTACTCTGCTTATGCCTGTAGATATAATAAGCATCCATCATCTTACATATATGAAAAGCATCAGCTGAGTAAGACGTTTTTCTCTTCCTTAACAAAGTTTTCACAAGGCAAAAGAATGAAAAGGAATTTGCAGTGTGCCAGTGAAAGTGCTGGGAGACACTGCTTGGTCTGTTCTTCTTCGTTCTCTGACTGTTGTATCCAGAGTTCAGGGGACCTGCTGGGTTTCAGTTCTAGTCTCTAGCAAGCTTCCCAAAAGGTAAGTTCGATTAGGGTAGTTAGGAGGTGTCTTCTGTCCGGTGGAAAGGGACACCATTTTGCTGACTAGGAGCTTGTTCACCCGTATATCATTATTTCTTACCATGGGCCAAGTATCAGGTGGCCTGAGAGACATATTATGTTTGATGTGTGTGTGTGTGTCCTTTGCAAATACAGTGTTATAAAGTCTGTAACTGTGCTTTTTTTTTTTTTTTTTTTTTTTTTTTTTTTTTTTTTTACAGGGGTGACCCTTCAATAGTGAAACTGAATATTGCTATTACCACAGGCTACCTCATTTCTGGTAATTATGCAATGTGTATCCAGTGCACACAATGTATGTACTTGTGCTGAGTCGCTATGCTGAAGATGTGATAGGTGTATACAGTACCAGTTCTAATGTGGCTTTTAAAATTACTAATTACTGGATTGTGGTGAAATCACAGAATCTTGCCTGTGGGTGTGAAAGATGGGAATGATATCTCTGCAAGCAGTAGGGAAATGCCCCGTGTGGTTTTAGGATGGTTTGATAAAAAAAAACCACCAACTCCTACCTACTTTTGTTCTTTGGCCAATTTAGGTGTTAGAAGGTGTTAAAGTGGTGCCCTTCGCTCACTGCAGGGTATCTGGAACTTCTAACATTCTTATATTTATTTCCACTGACCTCAAAATGCTGGCAGAAGCGGTTTAATAACCCTCAAAACAAGCTGAGGCAAGTGACACCATGAGATTCCTGCTATACCCATTTTCTAATTTTATTTAAATCAAAATTTAGTCTTATATGTAAAAGTAAGAATTTTTAAATTATTTTCTTGATAAGACATTGCATATATTTTCTGTTCTAAATTATTTGCTGTTAGCTGAAACTGTCTTGCGAACATTTCTTACAAAATGTTTTGGAGCTCTTTTATTGTCCATGAGAATGTTGACTTGTCAAAGCTAAAACTCATTGTGATTGATACTATTTTTAAGGAAAACTCGGCGTGTTAGGCTGCAGTTTCCGATTGGAAATCGAGCCATGTATTTGTTTCTATCAGAGTAGATTTGGTGCTCCCATGGGTTGGATAAATGGGTGATGAGAATGCCGGCTTAGGATGCGAGTTGGATTAAGTCTCCAGTTTATCTGTGGGAGGAACTTCATCTGCCTCGTTTAAATTCATTGGTATCTCTCTCAGAATAATTATGCATTAGACTTTCATTATGAGTTAATGAGTACCTTTGAATAGAGACCTGAACCTGGCCACTAGTTCTTTCTCACTTCCTTATATAGTTAATTAGTTAATGTTTCATTATTTATAGAAAGCAGAGAACCTCTATCAGATAATGGAGAGTCCTGCCTGAGGATATAGGTAATTTTTACAAAAGGGATCAGGACCCTCATTGGAGATGCAAAAGGCTGAGGGGGAAAGTCTTTGATTCAGACCTTTGGTTGCCTGTATTCCATGGCAATGTACCAAGTACTCATTTATTTGGAATTTATTGTTCCAGTAAAGAACAGAGAATCTCCTGAAATCTCAAACCATTAAGAGGGCAAGAAGGAACTTCAATGTCAAAGCTTGCAATAGAGCGTAAATTCATGTCCGCTGTGTCACTTGTGCAGGAATTGCAGAGTTCTGATTAAATAAACCAAACTTACTTTTCATTGCAAGTGCCCCTCTCAAAATCATTTTTGCTAAATGGTTCCCTGCTTGCTTCACAAGTCTTGCAATAGGTCAGAGTGGTTCCTTGCTTCACAAGCCTTATAGTAGTGTTTCCTGTACGTGATTATTGGTTGTGCTCTCTGCCCTTTGGGGAAGGGTAGTTTTCTGGAATTTGTGGGCTTGTAAGCATGAAGTCTCACTATGAGATTCTGCATCTCCTTTTTTCTTTCCAAAATATTTCAGCTAAAGCTATTGTCCCTGTACTCCCCTTAATGTAGAAAATAATTTATGGCAATGGTTGGAAGAATACTGTTGCTTAATGCTTTGTCAGAGCTGTTACTGCAAAAAAGATAGGGATGTTCTCTTCAAAGATAATTAATTCAGGATGCTATTACTGGAACCCTATGTTAGTGTCTACAACTCTTAAAAACTTACAGATTCTCAGGTAAATGGTAATATATTGGTGTTTCTTTTCTCTTGTAGATTTGTTGCTTATTATTTACTACTGGAAAGCTATTGGTGACAAATATTTTGTAATACATCACTTGGCAGCTCTGTATGCTTACTCCTTTGTACTGGTGAGTGCAGATAGAGAGAAATGCTTTATAACTCTCATTTGCTTAACGTTTAAAAATTCTTTGCTGCTTGGTGTGTTACCTTTTGTGAAATGCAGATTGATATTTTCAGCCATCGTTACTTTCCAGATATGCTTAACTGCCACTTGTGCTAAATGGATGCCTCTCCTGTCTTACAGGCCTTCAACGAAAAAAATGTCTAACCTGTTTATCTGTTAAAACTGGAGCTCTCTTCATTAGAGACACTTTGGGGGGGTGCTTATGTGCTTATGGGAAGGGTTTTCAAATAAAACTGCAATTCCCCATTCCTTCAGAAAAGATCAGAAGGAAACAGTTTCAGCTGTTGTGATTTGATTGTTTCTTTTATTTGCAAGGCATTTCCATAGATCAACAATCTCTTAAGTCTAGTGCAGGTATTAGTCAACCGGATATGTTTTTTTTTCTTTTTAATTTAAAAAAAGTATTTAAACGAAACCTAAAGATTCTGTTGTGGCAACAGTGTAATATAAAATAAATATTTTATATGTCATGCCACTCACTGTTAATAGAACACTGTATTACTTTGGGAGAGAGGATTCTGAAACAAATTCCATTTTATTTGATGTTATAAGTTATTGAACAGCTGGTAGATAGTGCCTGTTAATATTTAATATTAGTATGCTAATCTGAATAAGGTACAATACTATGTGGTTCCCAAACGTGTGATAAAGGGACCCTATCAACTATTTAGTATAGGCTGATTTCAAGTCTTTTTATATCTATTTTTATATCTATTACTCTTTGCTGCTTCTAGGTGGAATTTCCTCAGAGATGGAAATCTCTCTAACCTCTAAACTTACTTAAAAAGGTGTCTCCATGTCTCTCTCATGGGCTTATCTTAAGAGAAATTTATTAATAGGTTTCTTCTTTCAAAGCTGTTTTTGAAGATGCCAAATAGCTTGATTAAGCACACAGATTCTGTTTGGTGTAGTGCTAAGTCAGATGGGATACAAAACCTAATGGAGAAAAGAGGAATTATTTGTGTGTTGTGGCTGTTCAGGAGTACTGCTGAATATTTTTGAATACTTTTGTCTCTGCATTTGTAAACTGCTGCTTAGGCAGTCATGATGTAATGTATTACCAGTGTGTAGGACAGCCAAAAGATGAGACGGAGAATATTCCATATTTTTGTCATGGAGGAAAGAGCTCAGTTACAGTGTCTATCAGTGTCAAAAGCTACACACCAGCACAGAATTGCTGTGCTCTTCTTCCACATATATGGCAAGGCCTGAAACAGAACTGGTAGAAAGGATTTCCCTTGCAATGGGAATGACAGAAAAAAATTAAGAGTTTTTATGTTTGCTTTCTGCTGACAAATAAGAGACGTTCATCTTCACTTTAGCAAATGACATTCCCTAAAGCAGCGTAAAGGTTTTTTTTTCCTTTAGTTTACAGTGATTCCCTTTCAGTATAGTTAAACATGAGAAATCTAAAATGTTTATAGTCCTCTTAGATGGTAACTTAATCATTATAATTATATACTACTGCTGTTTGTGCCAGTCTCTCCTAACTAGCTTTCCACTGCTGCTCAACTATAAATACATCAAAGATTTATTTAAAATGCTATAAGAATCTACTGCTTCAAGACAATGGAAGGACATTTGTATTTTTTGTAGCAAACCTTATTTTGAAATTGTAAGGAAGGTCGTTACAACTAAGAAATCTGCTTGCTATCAGTTCTAGTAAGTAGAGACACTCCTGTTCTGCGTTGCTTGAGGACTGTATTCAAAGTTTAACTGCTAGATTGTGGAACTTCGTGTGTCTCTCTTCTTTTGTTAACCAGAGCAGAGGATTGTTGGCTTACTTTGCGAACTTCCGTCTGCTTGCGGAGTTCTCCACTCCTTTTGTGAATCAGCGGTAAGTGGTTATTACTGAATTTGTACCTAATTCTTTTTGTTTAAAGCTATGTTGTTGCTTAGTTCTCTTAGGAAGTTTTGTGTTACTGAACACCATCTGAAAGTGAATTAATATATATTTAACTAAAGATTACTCTCTGGAGAGCTTCTACTATGTAAGCTTTTGGCTGCCACAGTGACAATAGTATAGCTGAAGCATTTCTCACAAGCTCCTCATGTGAAATGACAAGAGATAGCAGTCTGTGCTGTGACCATGTGTCCCTGAATACCCCCACTTACTGCTTTCTCAGGAAAACAGAATTATCTATAGGAGATAAAGTCCCTTGCGCTAAGAGATGTCATCTCATTAGTGCATGAATCTTTCTTTTTTTCATTAAATGTGAAGAGAACCAGATGCATAAGAGAGTCCTGTAAATTGCTGGTAATGATTTATGTTATATCTCTTGCTTGCATTAATATAATCAAAAGAACTATTATTAAAATGATATTCTAATCTCAGAACTGAAGTGTTTTCTTTGCATTTCCTGTTCGTCATCAGGGGTATCTAATTGGGCAATGTCTGCATGTCAAGCATTGACTTCATTCTATGTTAACAAGAACATTTATATGATAATTATGGACAGTGATGGGTAAAATGTTCATATTCAGTGATATTTACTGGCTTTTATCTGTTGGAATTTGGCGTGAGAGAAATAATGGAGCAGAGGTTTAGATACCCTTTTCCTAACAGTCACCTTTGTTGGCAGATCACAGTATTGATTAAAAAAATCTTTATATTACCTGTGGAATCTGCACAATAAATATCAAGTAAAATAGAGGTGCTCATTGTAAGTCTTTCAGCATTCTTTCTTTCCTGTCTGGTTCTGAAGTTCTGGCTTAGTTCCAACTAACCAAACCAGTCAGAAAACCCCAGATCTGGGAAACGTGACAGTACAGCTCTGTCTAGAATAGCACATCCAAATACAAATGCCACTCACAGAGCTCCTAGTTCAGAATTGCTTTTACCTTTTTTTTTTTCTTTTTTTTCAGTTGTTTATTGTTGCAAACTATCGTGAGAAATAATATAAAATTTGAATTATAGCACATGTCAAAGTGATTGAAATGCCTACTTGTTGTGTACTGATTACAGTTCAGATCAGGCTTTTCTGTATGTTAGTCCTGCACTGTACCAGATATCACACAGGGCTTCCTTCACTGTAACTGAGCAGAAGGATTTACTACTTAACCCAATGTCAGAGAATTTAGAAAAGGGAAAGTTAGAAGTAATTAATAAAAGCAAATAAATTTTAAAACCTCATAAAATAAAATCCTTTTGAATGGAATGGCTTTAAGTCCACTCGGTGTCTTTGACCACTTTTCTTTTGCAGGTGGTTTTTTGAAGTATTAGGATATCCCAAATCTTCCAAGGCCAACATCATCAATGGTGTGTTAATGACAGTTGTGTTCTTCGTGGTGAGGATTGCAGTCATACCTATGTACTACAGCCGTGTGTTTTCTGCATTTGGAACAGAGGCTTTTGAGAGGTTAGGATTTGAGGCCCAGAGCGCCTGGATTATCTCGAGTGTTGTTTTGGATGTCATGAACGTGATGTGGATGGTCAAAATTACAAAAGGATGCTACAAAGTTATTCGTCTTATTGGACGGGAGGAGGCCAAAACCCATAAAAATGGGAAATCTGACTAGAAATCACATGCATAAAATGAAATTTGTACTATGAAAATAGCTTGGGTTCACTGAAGCAGTGCACGCTGCTGCTGCAGAATGCCCCCCGTAACAAGGTATTACCTCCGTACTGATCTTAGCCCTTCCCTAGCCGCACTGCCTGCACGCCAGGGTCTCGCTCCGAGGATCTTGCCGGCGGAAGAACAGGAGTGTAAGTTGACACGGACAAGTTCCAGGTGTGTGGTCTGAGCCTGGAAGGTCTAAGGAACTGGCAGGTTATGTGGTTGTTGTCCACCAGTGTGTTCTTAAGTGTTTCACTCAGGTTTCTCAGATTAATGTTTTATAAACCCATTGAATATTGACTCTCTCTTTGAAAACAAAACAGCTGATACGGTGCAATTTTCCTGGCATGTTCCTGTCTTTTCTTGTAGGAATATTTAGTGTTAACAATCAAGATTTCATTCTTGAAAACTTTTTAATTTTTGCAAGAAAAACAAAAAATTAGCTTTGATTTTATGAAGTATTTTACTGCTCTTTGTCTTGTTTTTACGCCTGCACACCATTTGGGGGGATTTATGTAATAATCCAAAATGCTGTATTATAAAACCACAAAATATATTTAAAAAACTATTAAAATATTCCAATTTTGATGGGAAGTAATAACTTCTATTACGTTAGCTTACATACAATAATGCACCTATGAAATCTCCCCTGGCATTCTTTTTTGTAAGTTAGCATGGTAAATGATATGTGAAAATGGCATAGTTCTGACAAGAGTGGGGTTTTTTTTGGTGTTGTTGTTTTGCTGCTCCTGCTTTTGGGAAGTAATGTAACTTGCTGCTGATTGACTGTTTTCTACCATGGGACGTTTGTTTAATTGTAAAGAGATACAATTATTCTGCATATGTGCTATGTGACTTAAGACCTTTTTTCTTTTGTTACAGAAATGACCATTTGCTATGAAATACTGAGGTCTGTTTGCCCCGTTTTCCTTGTTAATCAGATTGGAAATCTGAGGTTTTGATTAAAAACGTTCTTGAATTCAGGAAGGAGTTGAACTTTGTACATGTTGAAAAAACTGTACCGACTTTGTCATCAAAGCTATCAAGTAATTCTACAGAAGGCAGTTCAGATCTATAGAAAAGATTTTCAGAACCACATATTTGTCAGTAGGTACCGCACACTTAAAGATTTGGACAGTGTCAGAGAGAAGTCTTAGCCTCAAGGAATAGAGGAATAGTCTAGGATCTAAATTCTAATACAATTTGAGGATATATATACATACATATGTGTGTATATATATATATATGATTGAGAGCTGTTTTTGTATTCATAGCTTGGTTTTGTTTTGCTTGTTTTAAAACATACCTGATTTGGGACTGATCAGCTTCTGGGTTTGTTTTTTTGTTCGTCTTAAACATTACTTAGGTTATACTTCCAGATGTGTGCTTAAGTATGCATTTTCACTGACTGTTTAAACATATATACTAATTTTGTGTAGCAGATTGTTTTAACAACTTATTTTTAAACAAAAAGAGAAACTTTTTGCCCTCTGTGTAGGATATTTTGTTTTCTTCTGCCCTGTTCCCTGGAAGGAGGCCGTGTGCCAGCAGCTCTGATGCCCGCAGAGCGCCGGGCTGTGCTGGAGCTGCCCTGTGGCCAGAGCCAGGCGGGTGAGGAGAGGCCCCACGGGCTGCAGGGCCTCCCAGCCAGGGCACCTGGGGCCACCTCTGGTCCCCCTGCAAGATAATCTCATAGAGCTGGGTTGAGGGTTAGCGTAACAATCATTTGTACCTTCAGTGTTCACTGGCAGGCATTTTTTTCCCCCAATCCAGCCTCCTTAGAGGATATGGCAAGGATTGTTAATGCTTTTCATGCTGTGCTTATTAATGCTTCCAGTGCACCTTGTTTAGGCCTTGGTAAACTGAGCAATTATTTTGTTTAGCTGTATGGGGATTTTTTTTGTTGTCATTAGTTAATTTTATTTTTTGAGTGAATCCTGTACCTTATCTGAGTGCTGAAAACTCCGTATTTGTGCAGAATTACTTTTGTGGGCTGCTTTGCTGAAAGAAAGGGGCTCTGCTTTACACTAATTTGCCAAACCTGGTGTCCTTTAAGGTAGTGAGTTTGGTGCACCTAGCACGGAGACAGGCCTACATACAAAGGTGCTGTGTATTACTTCACGATTTAAAGGTGTAAATGAAATATGTCACGTGCTGTTTTAGTCACTAGATCAGGGCATTATTTTTAGTAGCATGTTGCAATCTCAAATCAATTTCGAAGTTAGTAAATTCAGACATTTTGGAGATTACACTTGAAAGTAGAAGCCCATCTATTTATTCAAGAAATAGGATGAATATTAATAATTTGAAGCAAATCTTAAGAGGACAATTTGTGGATGCTCTTGTGAATTCCTCCCTTATTATTAATCTTTAATACTATTCTAAATCTAAATTTCAGTAGCTTAAAAGATGTTTGTTTGTTTCTTTTCAGTGAAGAACATTCATTAAAATAATGTTTTCCTCAGATCGGATAGATTTAAGTATAGTAGGAAAGGAAGAAGTCAAATGATAACAAAATTACGTTAAAACTAGGTTGGAAAGAGAGCTACATAGTGCAAAGTGGGCAACAATCCAAAATTAAAGTGGAATAAGTATTTTAGAATTAGCAATATGTTTGATTGCTATACAAAAAATGTAAGTTTTCATTTTCTAATTTGATATTTTAATAATTGCAGTTATATCGTGGTGTATCTACTATATGTCAGAAGACAACTTGTTTAGAAAAAAAACTAATACTGCTGAATTGGGCAATGAGGGTAATAAATGGTCTGCCAAGTTATGATGTAATGAGCACATGAGTCTAGAGCACTTTTGGCCTGCCATTAAAGGCCTAGAGAATAGCAAATTAGGTGGCTTTGGCACCCATTTTTCAATAGCACTTTATTCATTTAAAAACTGTGTTGGAATATTTATAAATTTCGTATTGCAAGCCTGTCTCTTTGCTTCTTTCTTTTTCATGCAGAAGAGTAAAAACCTGATTAGTGGTCACTGTAGTAGGGGCTGTGTTTTGGGGGTGTCCAAACCCTCCCTTTTTACCAATTGCATTCTCAAGTGGAAAGCAGAACCCTGGTGCGTCATGAGGTTCCCTTGGCATGGGCATATCAAGTGGAAGGAGTTGATCTTTTAAAATGCTTAAATATCTTGTTTTTCTTGTATGTTCTCCAATACCAGGTGACATTAAATCAGCACAGCGATGACGGCAGTGTCCATTTGCACCAGTATGGCTTTGTGTTGGAACATAAGATTTCTTTCTGTATGGCTTACCTTTTAATGAAAAAATTAATAAATATCAGTTTCAGAGCTACTGTGGGAAGTGGTAGGTCAGGTTTTGCTTTCATAATTGATTTGTAAATGCAGTATTTTTGAGAGAGGAAATATACTTCAAAATACTCATTGGCTAGATGAGTGTTAAAATGGATTTCAGTGAAGTTGAAAACCTCATACTATAGAGATACTCAATGGGTATCTGTATCCATACCGAAGTGATAAGAATTCCATAGCTGAAGCCTACTCTACCTCTATAAAAGCATTTTATTTTGAGTGAGCTTGGTACTTTCTTAGCTTAGTGGCTTAAAAAAAAAAAAAAGCAACTATTGATTTTCGAAAAACATCCCATGAGAATGAAAATGAGACAAGCTGACTTTATATATTCTCAATGATTCCAAACTTTGCATTAATTTTATTAAAAATTAATTACAGTGCTTTAAAGAGAATTGCTTCTATCTTTATATTCAAAATGAGAGGAAAGGATTGCTCATAATACTACAGAATTCATGTTAACCCAAGAGAAAAAGCTTACACAAGTGAGCACATGTCCGCAAGCAGAGCAGAGCGGGAGGAGACTTGACACATGCTGTAGGAAGACAGATTTCTTCCTCTTGTGGTTGGGACAACAGTAGAATAATAAGTAGCAGAAAGTATTAGACATTTCTATATCTCTTTGCCCACTGGCAAGTGAAATTTGCTTCTTTTGAAAATCTCTAAGCTGCATAAAATGAGTTATTAGTTGTTAATTGCTGTGTGAAGGGGACTTTGTCATGGACTTGCGTGTGCATCAGTACCTGTAAACACAAGGTTTCCGTGAAAGACTATTAGGAGAGAAGTTGGTGAAGTTGTTCTGTGACGCCCTTGCTGAGCCATTCGGAGGAAAGCTAAGACTAAAAATGAAGAGCTGCTTGAAAATTGCTTCAACTTAGGATATGTTGCAGTTTTTGCTCCTGGAGGAAGGCATCAGTAAAATAAACAGGAAGGAGCTAGAATTTTCATATGAAAAGGGAACAAAAAAAAAAAAGAAAGAAAAAAAAATAGGGAGAGATGTATGGATGCCCATACATTCCATACTTTTAAAAGCCAGCCCTACAATTTCATTAACTGTTTCAAGGGACTTCACAAGGAGGGATTTGTCCTGGTGAAGCCTGTCACTCCATGGAATATATCTGACAGCTGGGAAGAAAACAGCACTTCATTGCTCAGATCCTGGCACCAGGCAAATCAAAATATATATGGACTTCAATGATCATCCAACCCTCGGTAAAATCTTTTTTGTGGGACAGTTGAAGGTCTTAGTGTTTTCTGAAAGAAATTTGCAAGGAGAGAAGATGAGTGATGGGCTATTGAGAGCTCTGTGATTAAGTACTTTTAGGTGGTAATACATGATCAGGTTTATTATCCATTGCAAATCTCTACTAGCTACCTCCTTACTCTGAAATTCTTGCTCCATTTATAATAACCAAGCACTTTATAGCTGAGTAAAGAGTGGAAGGTAGCGATGAAGAACAAAATGTGGTTTTGGTATAAGACTTTTTTGTCAAAAGATCTGAGATCATTTTCATTGTGTGGTGTCTTGAACTCGGAGGATATCTGGTCATTATGCACAAGATGTTTTTAATCTCATTGTAGTGTAAAGAAATGTCTTTAAGAGAGTGAATTAAGAAGAGTTCAGCATGTTTTGGTATCAGTAATAAAGACTGTGTGCTATTTATACCTTCCTGGTCATTGAAATTTAAAATAAAAAAAAACATACTCTGTAGTGGATCTATATTTTTAATGTCTGTGGGATGTCAAAAAATGTCTTGTAGATTGGGTATGGTTTTATGAGCTTATAAATATTAATGTATTTGAGAATTTGTACCCACAAGGAAGATGTTGCATGTGAATTGTCTTCTAAGATTTTAAATCTTGGTATTTTTAAAAATTTCCTAGATTTGAAAACAACATTTAAATATTAATACTAAGCTCTAATTAAGAATGCAACATTTTTGAATGCAATGCATAATATACTGTTTTTATTTCAGATGTATTCCAATTTCACCAGACGAATCCATTGTGTAGTAGGGGGAAAGGAAGAAAAGGGCTAATCCTGAGCGACGGTGTATAATTTGCATGCTTAGTGTGCACACACCCAGGTATCCTGAATTTGTTTCTAGTATGCATATAACACAGTTTTCTTTTAATATCTACACATATATATATATTTACATATATATGTAGATACATTTCTTTACTATCTATCTATATATATATGTGTAGAATAGTTTAGTGCATACAACATGTAACCTGATAGAAAGCCATATTACAAGGTTGGAAAAAATGATTTACATTTTAGATAAAAATAATGGTTCATGAAATTGTAAAAATGCTTATATAATCTTCTGTCTAAAACCAAACCTGGAAAATGTTGTAAAACTAGCTTATGTGCAGAATGAGGATGAAAATTGTAAATTCTTCTCTACTGCCTTCTGGAAAATCATGACAATCTGGTTTGCAGCAAAACTAAAACTCTAATATTGTTGCAAAACATCAGTGTCACATTACTAAATTCAGGCAGTAATGTGGCTTGAGTGTTCTAACAATCCTTACCATCACACAAGAAGTTAAAAATGCAATATAATAATTCTGCAGATTGGTTATAAAAGTAATCAGTTGTAGTAGGGTGAATGATGAAATATGGGTATCAGCCTATGTTTTATTATTTTTGAAATGATTTGTTTGCATTTCATTGCTGATAGAGCATTTCTGTGTTTTGTTTGAACAATTTAGCAGCTTGCATAAAGTTACATTGCCTGTTTTTTTTTTTTTTTGGTATATGCAATAATGTCAATAATGTCAATAAGCAATAAATTGCATGTTGTATGCAAGGTATTGGTACTTCCTAATAAAAGAAAAGAACACAGTTTCTTATTCTGTGATTTTTTTTCCTCCTTAAGATACGAATAGGTTATGTACTTACAATAAATGTATTGTGAAAAATGAACTTACTTTGGAGTGAGTTCCCAGACACTTGGCTCATGTGGTGTCTTGAAAGTGTATGCTGAACCTTTTTTGTTTTAAAAAGGCGAGGAAGGAGCACGAGGCCTGAGCAAGACCTTTTCAAGTGACAGGAGTTTTAAAGACTGAAATTCTGCCTAGGACGCTTAGGGCCACAAATGTGACTTAATCTAAAATTTAGGGTGGGTATTGAGGAAAAAATCATTTTGTATTTGCTAGGATAATGATATCACACTTGATTGCAATGATACTACCCGTGTTCCGGACCGAGGCTGGCCCCGTGGTTGCAGGGCCCGGCGCAGAGAGCTGCTCTCGCTGGTCTGTTGTGCGTACGGTGGGTTACAGGGCCCTTTACTGAACACCAAGAGGGGCCGTTCCCTAGCAGGGCCATTCCTCGGCTCTGTATGTGCAGAGAACCAGTGCATGGTGCAGCAGGAACCGCTCGTGTTTGAACTTACTATTAAACTACCAGAAGAAAATTCAAAGCACTCCCCCAATTTCACTTTTTTTCCTCTCTTACATTTCAGAGGGGGTTAGTTTCATTTGTAAATGATATCATTTGTGTGCCAACTTTACCATTCTGATATAGAAAACCACTTGTTAAGAGCACATCTGTGTGGAAACGACTGTCTGGGCAAGCCTGGCCGTGTCACTGGGGGTCAGGGCCACACAGGCCCGTTCCCAGGCCCGGGCTTGGTGGGCAGCGCTCAAGGGCACACAGGAAGGACTGAGCGGCTGCCAACAAGGGCGCCTTTCAGCCGGCCCTTCCTACCCGGCACCCAACGCGTCTCGCAAGCGTGAGAAACGCGTCGCCAGCACAGGGGGCATAAAGTGTTCCAGATATCCACTTCCTCTCCTTCATATTTTAGTGCAAAGTTGCTATTCATTTTATCTCTCTGTTTTTATTTATGTTTTGTGTCTTCTCTTGTTGCGCATTTTGTTCTGTGTTTGCACTAGTGCGGTAACTCCGTGTTAGAGTCTTTTGCTGACTTTTTAACTCTTGTTCGTCACGGGGGAGAGCTGCAGGCGTCTTAGATAAGGGGCTCCCGGTGGCAGTGTATTCCGGGCTTGCTCCGAAGCGCAGCTCTCGGGATAACACAGGTGTAGTGATGTGAGGTTACGTGTAAGGGTGTCTTCGGCCCCGAAAGCGAAGCCGGACGACGCCGAGGGATCGCCTGCAGCTCCGCGGCTGCGGGCGCCGGGACGCGGCCCGTGCG